AGTTTTGTGGACACACCCACTTTATGGTTTAAACGTGGAATGTTGATACGTTACCACAAAACAGATTCCTAGCAACCATGATGAATCAATCAAGGACTGAATGACACAGACTAGGATTTCAATGCAAAATTGGGTGTGTGTGGGAGTGAGGGCGTGGGGGATTGGATTCCCCCACCAAAGCTCTTACTGTATACTATTCTCACTATAGTTTACAGAGCTGGACAGGAATTTTAAACTAAAAGAAGGAAAAAAAAAGATGGGGTAGGTGTCTTCCTGTTGTTCTCTACCCTTCAAAGCCCCAAAATGTGTTTATCTAAATAAAAGGACCTTTCTGGAAACACAGACTCGCCTTGGTTTTATGGACTTGATTAATGCTTGAGTCACACAGCCAAGTCATCCCCCCAGAAATCTCTGAAATTCTGCCCGGTGGCCTTGATCAAACTAGCAGGATGGATGGACAGGCCCAACAGCACTTGATCTGGCTCGTCCCTCCTGCCTGATCTGAATCAATATTTGTTTGCTATCTACAGCCACGTAGCTCCTTGCTCTCAGATCCTCTCTCCTGACGGTGGTTGGAGTGGGTGGAAAGAGGGGGGCAGGAAGAATGAGCTCACTTGGCACCAAGCACTTTCAGAGTTGGGAAATTCACATCTACAATTTAATTTCTGTGTTTTATGGCCCACATGTGTATTTCCAATGGGGCCCGCTAAGCCAACTCAGTGTTCCAGATCTCCCACACTGTGGATTTTGTTTACCTTCCCACCATTCAATACCTACTACACATACACGAACCTTGTCACACAAGAACACCATGCACCTAATTCTGTTCAGACTGTTCATTCTTCTCAATATAAACTCAGCACTATCCTGCTACCTCCAGGCCTGTACCTTTCAGGTTCCTGCCACCAGGAATACTATGTCTTGATGTGCTGATGTCCAGTTGAGTCTTCAGAACTTTTGAATTAAAAAACTCATAATAAAGATTCCCTTTACTTATGTACAGTCTGCTTCTGTAAAACCTTGGAAGTCTACCAGGGCAAATCTACTCTGCTCTACAGAGTCATTCAGTGACTGTGAGTTTGTGCAAATATTTACACAGCTTTTCTCATCAGGATATGAAGCTCATCCTCACCCCACACCCACTACCCTACCTCTACACTGTCAGGCTGCTTGGATCCTTGGCTCTGTACACAGGAAAATTAGGAACTAGAACCTACTTCTTCTTTCCACATTGGAGGTAAATTAGTGGAGGAGGCAGGGTTTACCAGTCGCCTTCGGACTTTGATTTCCTCTGAGCTGTGAGTATGTAGGCTGGGTGTGACCGGAAGAAAAGGGCAAGGACTCACGTCAGAGTCACTGCCTGGTATTAGAACTCTGGCCATCTCAGTGCTATTGAGGTGTGTTCTGACAGGGATGAGTCAAGATGGCTTTAAAAACTTCCCATGTAACCTAGAAGGGAGAATCTAAAAATCTCAGTAGAACCCTTCAGAAGCACAAACCTGGATACCTTCTGGTCCCGATGCTGGCTGCCCTCTCTCTGAATGAGTGGAAAGAATTTTTTTTTTTTTTTAAGATTTGTAATTTCCTCTGGTGTGGCCTGCAACTACAATAGGGTGTGGCACAAAGCGAAACAAAAGAAGTGGATGGATTCTCATGTGTAAAAAAAAAGGAATATTCCATTTCTATTAAATTCTCACAATCAAATTGGAGGCAGGTAAAGTCAGGATCACTTTACACAACAGTGTCCTGAGGCAAGTTAGATGAGATGTATGGGTCTGTGGGACAGTTTTATTGAGAGGGTGCTGAGCCCCAGCCAAGTTGGGAAACCCATGATTTAGGAAAATGAAGCGTTTAAATCCATTCATTAACTACCAATGTTGTTCTTGGTTGCCATGGGGTCAGCTCTTACACGGGACAACCTCATACATCACAGAAGGAACCACTGCAATCTCATGATCATTGGTATAATTTACTTATTTTCTTTCTCTTCCTATGAGATTTAAGGTTTACAAGAGCAGGCGCCATCTGCCTGCTTGGTTCACTGCTATACCCCTAATGTCTAGAACTCAGTGACATGTTATTGTTAAGTGCCATCCAGTCAGTTTTAACCCATAGTGACCCTGTACAGGGTTTACAAGGAGTGGCTGGTAGATTTGAGCCACCAACCTTGTGGTTAGCAGTCCAGCGTTTATTCTACAGGGCCACGCCAGAACCCCAAGTGATATATGCTGTTGTTATATGCCATCAAGTAAGTTCTGACTCATAGCAACCCTATATAGGGTTTCCAAGGAGCAGCTGGTGGGCTTGAACCACCAACCTTGTGGTTAGCAGTCCAGTGCTGATCCTACAGTGCTACACCAGGAATCCCCTAATGGCACATATATAGTTGTTGCTGTTAAGTGCCCGTCAAGTCAGTTCTGGCTCATAGTGACCCTGTATATGGTTTCTGAGGAGCAGCTGGTGAATTTGATCCGACAACCTTGCAATGCAAACCAACCTTGAGGTTGAGTGCTTATCCTATGGTGCCACACCAGTGAACGGATGTTTAAAGCAGTCCTCTAGAAGAGCCTGAGAGTCTTCTGTGACACGCCCAAGCCTCCTGAAATGGAAAATGCCTCAGCAGGCCTAGCGGCTCACACAAGCAAAGAGCCAGAACTAAGGCTCACAAAAGAGCCCGGCGTGCCAGTTCCCATCCGAGCGGGAAGAGCCGCCTGCCCTCAGAATCAATACCAATTACAGAAGAATATCTACATTGCCAAGAAAACTATTTAAATCAGAGATTAAATTCAGTGGCCAGGAAACTAATGTCTATGACTGCTGGCTTAATAGCAATCAATAGGTACTTTTTATAGCTTAAAGACACAGGGGTGTGAAAGTCTAATCCATGATCAAGCTCCTGATCAAAACCAGTGAATCAGCAATATTTCCTGCACATTTACCTCAGACAGGCAGGCCACTGGGCATTGTGGGGAATTACAAAATCCAAGCGGTCTCCAAATCATAAAGCTCCAACTAAAAAAAAATACACATACATGGCCACACCCTTTCCACACAGATGCCATAGGTACTGCTGAAGAAAGCCCTCAAGCGTTTAGACAATAGGTGGTCTGAGATGGGAGGAAACTGCTAAGCGGGATGTCGATGTCGGTGCTGTTCACTTTTCCGGACTGATCGCCACCTCAAATTTTCCTTAGTATTCAATGCTTAAAATTACAGATGCGTTGGACTTGACAAGGTAGTTTTGTGCTTTACTTTTTAAATAACACAACTCCTCTAGATTGCTGAATGTTTGAGACTGCCAACTATTCCTAATTTAACAAGCACTCGGATTCACTTTGCTTCTCCCTAGCTGGATTTAACTACACTAAAATGGCAGGAGACATGAGCACCAAGGAAAGATACAAGCATACTGGCTATGGAAGGGGCATCAGGGGCAAGATGACTGGGACGTGCCAAAGAAGGTGTGAGGAAGGCAGAGAAAAGAAAGTGGAGAGAGAGCAAAGACAAAATTTTCCAATTAATCTAGTCATAACCAACTTTGACAGTAAGAAAAGTTCTGGGAAAATATCTCACGATTGGTTCATTCTTCCTGCCTACATTAACAGCCCTTACACCAAGCCTCCTTCCATCAAAAACAAAAGTAAAAATCCAGACATGCACTATCAGCACTTAGATCCCCTGAATGTTAAATCGGTTTTTCTGGGCTAGACTGAGAACGTTGGGGAAAGTGCATGCGCACTTCTGGACAGAATACATCCATCCGTAGTCACACAGAGCTCTGAGGCTCAAATCCCTGGACTACTGAAGCTTATGCTTTTGGGGAAAGACCCAATGTGCATCCATGAGTTCACAGCTCTTTTACACAAATTCAGCACCTAAAGCTTTAAGACGGCAAATTTTAATAATGCAGTAATGACACTTTGCATTTGTGTAGCATATCAAGTTTTCATTGCACTATGCACATTTTCTGTTTTGTTTTTTGAAATCTTCAATAAGCCCCTTGCATGAGTAGAGGAAAGAATAAACATCCCTGAACCACTCTCACTGAGAAGGAAGCTGAGGTTCGCCTCTGATCTTCTCCACAGTCAGTTGTTGGAACCCCAAATCCAACACACCAGGCGAGGAAGTACCGCCGTCCTAGCGCCACAAGGAGCGGCTGGAGGCCACGCCCTTTTCTGTACCCTCAGTGCCTGACTCACCGTCTCATCATTGAGACTAACAGTCAAGTAAACCCTCCTCGCAGAACCATGGAGGGCACTTCCTTCCTTATTCAAGTTTGTTCTACCCGGCTGACTGTGACCCCCGAGTCAACTGGGAAACTTTCCAGATACTCTTAAATCAGAGGTTGCTATCCTACAAGACAATCTCAACAAGAGAAGGAGCTGAGGTTCTCGTTTGTTTATTTCCACTATTGCTTTGGTTTTATTTGTAGAGGGTGGGTGGCTACTAAAAACTCCCACCCCCATCCTCATCCCACCGCTTCCCTGCTGTTGGTCGGTTCAAGCTCCACAGATGAGCGTCGGTTTCAAGTACAGTAACTTGGCAATCGCGAGGATTACTCTCTAGTTGGTTGCAAAACTTGTGTTAAACTTGGAGGGATTGCTTATGGGTGACTATTCCACAAGAGACCCCGTGGCTCCCTCGGAGGCCACACCCAGTCCCCCAACCCCCAACCTCGCCTGGAGTGTCTGGAATGCGGGGGTTTCTCACCACTACTCCACTCCCCTCCCTGGCGCTGCCTCGCCCAGACTTACTGCGAAGACTTCAGCTGGCTGTCCGATCCCCTACCTTTCCCTGCGCCCCCAGGCCCGGGCGCAGCTCGGCCCTCAGCCACCTTTGCCCCTGCCCAGACTACCTAGCCCCTAGTGCGAACCATCCCTCCAGCCTCCTGTGTCCCGTAGCGCGGGCCTCTCCAAGAGGCCACTTCCTCCGTCCCTGCCTTCCCCGCTAAAGCAGCGGCCCGGGGGCCATAGCGGACGGGCTAGGCGAGCCCCGCTTACCTGGGCTGGGCGCCGAGAGCTGCGAGCGTCCCCAGATGCAGAGCAGAGCCGGCTGGCCTGGGTGGGGCTTTATACCCGCCACATCCTCAGTCGGCTAGGCGAGGCCCGCCCCGCCCCGCCCCGCCTCCCCCAACCCTAGACCGTTCCCAGCCCGACCCGGGTGACTCACCCTCCTCAGCCCGCAGGGTCAGCCTCGCCCAGGAGTGCTCCCCAGGCGCGCCACGCGGGCGCTATAGAGCGCCCACGGCCCTGTAAAACCCCGCCGAGGCCCTTAGCGGACTCCTGCTTCCTCGATGCCCACTATTAGCTTTGTTTCTTCCTCCCTTCCTCATTTTACTTCTTGAGAGCCACGTCGTCGAGCTCTCAGCCTAGGTTGGGGTTAACACATTTGCTCTTTAGTAGTAGACTCCGACCTTGGTTAAGTCACTTATTTTAATTTTTTAGGCGTCAATGCAATGAAAAAAGAATTGTTCCTAGAAGCATAAATATTGAGTCCCCGGGACTGGGGCCGCTGGCATCCAGCTGCGCATTACTGTCTGCAAGCATTTTGGTTTAACCTTTACCCAGCTGGTCCTGGGCAAAGCGCAAGCTTCCGGAGGGCGATTCGCCTGGCCTTGCTCTGCAGAGCCTGGCCGACTCGGTGAAGGAGCGCAGCGAACCCAAAGCCAAGGCTGTGGGCTGCCAGGAGGCGGTGGCCTGAAGCCAAGATCCCCTCCCCTCCCCAGGAGACTCTTCCAACAGTGTTCAATTGCTCCCCTAGCCTCCTGGGAGCATTCCGAGAGTCAGGCTGATCTGCCCTGGTTCCTGGCAGGACGTCCTGAGCTGGGTGGGGCCGGTGGTTTTGAACCCCGAGTTCCAACAAAGACGTTTCCTCCCTTCCTTCTTTCACTGCTGAGATTCTTTCCCAGCCATTTAGCCCGCTGCCTCCGCTGAGTTTTACCGCTTTTCTTTACGGGCATTTAGCACGAATCAGGATGGCAACATAGAGGCAAACAAATGTTTTTGTGTGACTGAGCAAATACTGTAGTCAAGAACTAACAGAAATGCTTTGCTAAGAGAACTTTGAATTCTGTCCTTTTCACACACTTCAACAGCCCTTTCTCTAGATGCCTCTGTGTCTAAACCTCTCATCTTATCTGTGAGTTGAGAGTCACTTCGCTCCTGAAATCAGTGAATGAAAGATAACCCACCGTTCATGTGGTAGAAGAAACAAAGGCTAAAAGATTACAGTGGCACACTGACGTCCCCCAGTAACTTGGTTACAAAACTAAAATAACACCAGGGATCTCTTGCCCTTGTTACTAGAGATTATACAAGACAGAACATAACTCGAGGACAAATAGAAAATGAATCAACTTTCTTGATATAATTTCTGATTAACATGTATGACTCAGGTAGTCTGAAAGCTTTAAAGGCAGAAACCATGATTATCTTCCTACTCAGGTAACATTTTGCAACATAGAGGGTACACAGGTGGAAAAGAAAAGCGCATGATTCAGCCCTTTGCGTACATCTCAGGGTAAATTCCAAGGCCTCTTATTCTTAATTATACTGTGGTAGCCTCTGTGGAAGATAAGATTTAATTCAAATCATGTGGAACATATGGAAGTCACCAAGTACCCAAAGATTTGTTTTGTTTTGTTTTGGTTTGGTTTGTCCTTAGCAGCTGGCAGATCCCAATGTGTATTTGTCACTGAGCTAAACAGTGACATGCTGAAGAATTTGGCACTGATGGTTATCATTAAAAAAAAATCAAGCTCTTGGAAGTTATGGTTTGCTGTTTCTGAGGAATGTGGAGCCACTTCTGCAAGTATAAAAGAACTTTTGAGTCCCTTAGTCCAAAGATTCACATCCTGCTTTTTCTCATTTTTCTCTTACAACTAGGAAAAATATTTACAGCATCAGACCCCAGACTATGTCAACCATTTTGTGTATGGTTCTCTAAGGGATGAATTTTGCATTTCCATACCTTTCATACTGCCTGACTAGCATAAATGGGAGGAAAAGGAGGCTTTTTGCTCCCATAAACATTTACAGCTATGAGTCAGAATTGACTCCATAGTAGTAGGTGTAGGTTTCTTGGTGTAACTATCAACAGAAGATGGAAGGAGTACACAGCGTCACTGTAACAAAAATAATTAATCAGCAAGGATCATTCCCACTCCCTCCACACATGGAGGAGACAAGGATGGGCAACTTGGCACTGGAAGCCAAAATGGGGCGCTACATAGGCAAGAAATGACTGGCTTACATGCTTTCAAGAAGGAACCTAGATCCAGAGGGCCTGGAGGAAGGTAGACTCTCCAGTGAGTAGTATCCAATCTGTCTAGCCAAGGCTGATAAAATGAAATGCGGATAGGTCTCTTGTGATATAATAGTGAATAATTGTTATCAGGACTGATTGTGAGGGTTGGAAATGTAAAGGCAGATGTTTTATAGCAAGAAAGGGAGTGATTAACTTTTCAGTCTAGGAGCGGAGGTCCCTAGGACCATCAATGGAGAAGAGCCGAGAGCGGGACCCTACCCAGAGAAGCAGTGATGCCTGAGATGGAAGCAGAGACGATGACATGGAGAGATGGAGCAGCTGGGGACTTTAGATCCAGAGAGGGAGAGCGACTGTGTGCTGAAGACCTGGGGGGCACGGGGGAAGGATTGCATGGAGGGGATTATAATCATGGCATGAAACAATATATAGATAGAATGAATTTAAAACTAATGTTCTCCCATGTAAACTATCACATAATTCACAATAAAACATTAAAAAAATAATTATAATTAATCAACATTCAATCATTTCAGAAGGTAGTATATGATCCGGAACCAATGATATTGAAGGAAAAGTTCAACCTGCACTCATGGCATTAGCAAGAAACAAGGCTCCAGGAATTGACAGAATGTCAATTGAAATGTTTCAAGAAACTGATGCAGTGCTAGTCTATGCGAAGAAATTTGGAAGACAACTAACTACCTGGCCAACTCATGAAAATATGGCCAACTGGCCTTATTTGTGCTCATTCTAAAGAAAGGTGATCCAACAAAATTAGGAAATTATCAAACAATATCATTAATATCACACACAAGTAAAATTTTGTTAAAGATAATACAAAAGTGGTTGCAGTAATACATCAGCAGGAAGCTTCCAGAAATTCAAGCTGGATTCAGAAAAGGACGTGAATTCAGAAGAGGGACATCAGTGCTGACATCAAACGGATCTTGGCTGAATGCAGAGAATGCCAGAAAGATGTTTACTTGTGTTTTATTGACTATGCAAAGGCATTTACCTGTGTGTATCATCATAATCTATGGAAACATTGTGAAGACTGGGAATTCCAGAACACTTAATTGTGCTCATGTGGAACCTATACATAAACCAAGAGGCAGTGGTTTATATACAACAAGGGCATACTGTGTGGGTTGAAATCAGGAAAGGTATGTGACAGAGTTGTTTCCTTTCACCATATTTATTCAGTCCGTATGCTGAGCAAGTAATATGCGAAAGTGCATTATATGAAGACGAACACAGCACCAGATTGAAGGAGGCTTATAAAACAACCTACCATATGCAGATAACACAACCTTGCTTGCTGAAAGAGAAGAGGACTTGAAGTACTTACTGATGAAGAATAAAGAGTATAGCCGTCAGTATGGATTATTCCATACTGAAGTAATGTAGAGAAAACAAAAATCCTCACAACTACACTAATAAACAACATCAGGATAAAAGGAGAAAAGAATGAAATTGTCCAGGATTTCATTTTACTTAGATCCACAATCAAAGCTCATGGAAGCAGCAATCAAGAAATCAAAGGATAAAGAGCAAATCTGTTGCAAAGATCTCTTTAAAGTGTTAAAGAGCAAAGATGTCACTTTAAGGCACCTGACCCAAGCCATAGTATTTATTATCACTTCATATGCATGTAAAAGTTAGACAATGAATAAGAAAGAACAGAGAAGAATTGATGCATTTGAATGTGTTATCAAGGAATAGTGAAAAGTAGCATGGATCCCTACTGGCCAGGTGGCAAGACATCATCTTAGGTACTTTGGACATGTTTTGAGGAGGGACCAGTTCCCAGAAAAGGGCATCATGCTTGGTGAAGTAGCAGCTCAACACAAAGGAAGATGAACAGATACAGTAGCTGTAACAATGCACTCAAGCATAAGAACAATCGTAAGGATGGTTCAAGATGGGCCAGAGTTATGTTCTGCTCTGTATAAGGTTGCTATGAGCAAGAGTGAACATAACAGCACTTAACTACCAACAATCTCATTTTCATAGATGAAGAAACTAGAGTCCAAGTAGTCTCCTGCCCAATCCAGAGACTGAAAAATGCACCCAAGGTCCTTACATCAGTTACTTATTTCAATATAACAAATTATCCCCAAAACCTGGTGGTTAAATTATTTTTTTTCCCTCATCAATCGGTTAATTTGGGCAAGAGTCAATGGGAACAACTTGTCTCTTCTTCACAGGATGCTGGCTAAGAAGGCTTCCTTGGAATTGGAGGGTCCAAAGTAACTTTATTCACTTGTCTTGGTGCCTCCGCTGGGATTGCTAGAATGCTGGAGCTGTCTTGGCTTTTTTATTTTCCTTGGTTTCTCATTCTCCATGTCCTCTCTATGTATCAGGGTAGTCATGGCAACTGAATTTCAAGAAGAAAAACAAAACAGTCCACAGGTTGGGTTTGGCTTGGGGCTGTAGTTTGCTACTGTTGTTATTAGCTGCCATGGAGTCATACACCATCACCACTCGTCCTGACTCGTGGTGACCCACGCACCACCATGGTCCATCACCACAAATCAATTGTGGAGCCTACTGTTGGGATCCATTGGGTTTTTACTGGTTGCTTTTCTGAAGTAGATTCCAGACTCACCTCTGGTCAGTGCACTGTTGGCTAGGGAGGATCAACTGGGTCTGCAAGACCCAAAAGAGCCACTCTCCAGCAGGTAGTTGTTTGCTTTCAAGAGGCTTAAAGTAAACGATTCCTGGCCTAGAACTGTAAGAGTGTCACTTCTGCATTCTCATGTTCAACACAAGTC